TAAAATCAGTACCGAACCTGGTCCGAAAGAGCTCCGAGAAGTCTAAAGACTGTACAGAGTGGTCACCAAGGCCCTTAAACACTATTGTGAATAAGCTAGGGCTATAGAATGGATAAACAAAGTCATACAAATATTTGATAATGTTTCGCAGTCAAATTTAATTTTTAAAGGCTTCTTCAAAACTAATTCTTTGGATTAAAAAAATAAAATAAAATAATTTTAAAATAATTGATGGTGAGTAGATGCTGCTTAAACTTCTATTAGACTAGTTGAACTCTAAAAAAAATAATCTGATGACTTTCTACTAAAAAAAACTATTCAAATAACTCTAAAACTTGACGAAATGACAAAATCACACACTACTGTAACAAATTTCACAGATAGACCTTTCACACGCAAAGATTTCACACTACAGAACGCGTAATCACTCAGAATTAAATAAAAATAACACTACTACCCTTATAAGGGTTTACCACTGAAAAAAACTCGATAACTCTTTTTAAAATAACACTAACAAAAAAACTCTAACAACTAACACTCGATAATGGACCCACGAACTAACAGACACGAACAGACGGACAGACCCCCTCTTTATACCCTTCAACTTCAATCTCAACCTCGTTCAAATTTAATCAATGACATCATTTAATCTCGGATTTCCTTTAATTTCGATCTCGGGTTTCCATTCTTAATGTAAGTTGTTTCTTGCTTCTCTCTCTTTAGTTTCTTTTTGCTTCCTTTTGATTCACATCATACACTAATTAACGATTTATCTTATTTCTTCTTTTTAGTTTGTTTCCTTTCATCGATTTAGATCGATCTCTGGCTTTCTAGATTGATCGATTCAATTTCTAAGTTCAAATTTGTAAGTTCTTCTTTTTTTTTATCATTCTTCTTTCTTTTAGGTTAATCTATCTATGAACTAATCAATCAATTGTTGTTCTTCTATCCTCATTTCAATTCTAAATTTCTGTGCTTTATCTTTTAGATCGATCAATTGTTTCATTTCTGAGTTTAAATTAGTAAGTTCTTTTCTATTTTCTTCTTTTAGTTTATTTTATAAACTAATTGTTCATTCATCTTCTTACATCCTTTTAGGTTGATTCTAGATTTGTTCTTTTAGCTTTCCAGATTGATCAATTTCGATTTTGAGGTTCAATATGTAAGTTCTTAATTTTCTTTCTTCTTCTAGTTTGATTATTCTATGTACTAACTAATCAATTCATCTCTCTTTGTTTTCATCTTGCTATCAACTAACTAATCAATTTCATGTTAATTCTAAATTAGATTTCAGCTCTTGATTGAATCTTTTGTTCAATAGTTTTTTTCTTCTTCTTTTTTCTTGGTGACTTTGTTTAAACCAGATCAATTAACTTTATTTAATACTATATCTTGTGTTGCAATTTTATTTGATTAATTTATTGAATTCATTCTAAATGTTCTATACTCTTTGATATGATTTTAAATTGTTTATTTTGTAATATGTCTCCTGAGTTGAATAAACTAAAAAAGTGATGACTAGAATGAAAAAAAAGAAATCAATAATTCATTTGTTTTTATTAAATGTTGATCCTGAATTGAATAGAATAAAAAGTTATGAATAATAAAGTTAAATTGTAGAATTTGTAATTTGAATGTAATTGACTAAAAAATATTGAAGCTTTATGTTTGAAAAAGAATAAAAATATATTTGAAATGATTTTAAAAAAAGTATGAGTGTTAAGAGAATGATCTTAAAAACCTTGCAGGGTATTTTGATAAAATATTGAAACTGAGTTTGAAAGAAAAAATTCTAAAAAAAATAAACTATTTGTTTTGAAGAAATTGATCAAACTATGATTTGAAAAAATGAGATGTGTAAGAATTGAGAAGTAGATAACTTTTGATTTCCACACCGGGTTTTTACAAACCGGGCCTACTTTGAGAACCCCTAATACACTCTTCTACATTTTTTATTTTTGAAGCCTTTGTCCAAAAGGCATATTTCCATATGTGATTGTGAATTCTACATGGGCAGTCCAATATTTCCTTGACTTGTTGATCCTAGGAAGGATATGAATAAATTGATGGAAGAAACTTTTGGAAGTTATTATTTACATTCATATCAGTCTATTTGTGCCTAATTTGTGCCCTACATTTCATCACAATCTGCTGCAAGGTCAAAGAACTTCAGAAAATCCAAACTCTGTAAATAATTCACAATTACATATAAAAATACTACCCATAGACACAGGCTGTAGGAAACAGCAATGTGGAGAAACATAGTGCGGAAAATATTATCAAATTTAATGTATACTAGGGCATAGGCAGCCCAGCCAGCCTGCTGAACGTGACTGAGCATAGGCCAGACTGAATACTTTATGTTGAAACTCAACATTGCCTTCTGAAATGTGTGGCTCCACTGAAGTCTGCATTTGATTAATCTAAAGTGTGGATAATTGAATTTTTTATAAAGACTCAGTAGTCCATTGTAAGAAAAAACACATAAGAAGTTGTAGTACTACATCACACCTAGTCAGTTTAGTTAGTGCAATATGTAAAATCAGAAAGAGTGAAAAATATATTGATGAAGTACAACACAATAGTGAAAGAAAGAATAAGCTTCTGTACAACCTAATTGATCATTTGTTTTGACAGTCATTAATCACAGGTATATTCTTATGAAGCTATTCAAATTTACAAAAGTCTAGCCTTCAAGTTCCTTCTTAAAAGAGCTCTGGCTCACCCAAATCTCAATTTCCTTCAAAGGTATCTAGTGGCTAAACTCGTCTTCATATAGCATTCAATCTTACAGAGACAGAATATTATTCAAGAGCAGCCACCATTCAAGGACCATGCGTGAGTGAAATATTACAATACCTTGATTGATTCAAGGTCCCAATTGATTCAAGGTTCCATCTGAAATGGAAGATTCTCTATGTGGATGGTAAATATGAAAGTGGCTTCAGTCCTCCAGTGAAAAGAAGATGACAGTGCCTTTATCATATGAATACTTGTGAACTGCATCATTTGATAGAAGCAGGGAAATATAGTTGTATTTGGAAAGTCATAACATTACCTTATTGCATGATGGCTGTGGAGCACATGCACTATCTGTAAAGTTACAAAAGCTACAGTGCTGCTAATGCAAACAGGTGTGAACTTTGGTCAATTTAATGAATTTTTTAATTAATTTACACCCCTTTGCAGAATCAATGAGTTTGGAAAAGGAGAAAACACTTGAGTTTTCAAAAAAAAACCTGTGAGTTTGTGAAAAAAACTCATCAAGTTTTTCAAAAACTGAGCAAGCTCTTTCTTTATGTTTATTCTCTCAAGTTGATTGAACAATCAAATTTGATCCCTCATCTCATTGCACACATCAGCTTTGGTAACCCAGTGCATTTCTCTCAAATCGGATTGAGTTTACTGACAATAATTCAACTCAAACTGTGCATTGTTCAGTGGCATCAAATGCATCCATGTCCTTCAACTCAAAGCTTGGGAGGTCTGACGCGTAAGGAATTCTTACACGAGCTAGGTTAGTAGCGCAGGTGCTGCACTTGCTTTTGAGAAGTCAAAAGTGAGGGCAGCTGCTTTGGGTGGAACCTAGCGCCTCTCCTTGGGGAAAGAGATTTCTTACAAATCCTTCAAGACTCAACCAAGAAGGGCTGCGTACAAGGGAAAGGGAAAAGAGCCCCTTCAAACCAAGGGTGGGAGGGTATGCAAAAAGCAGTGGGTTCAAAAAATGGGATTTTCCCGTGTGGAAAGACTTGTCAAAGAGTCCTAGATTGTGGGAACAAGACAGGCGGAACTGCAAGAGAATGGGACAAAGTTCCTTGACCTCAAAGAGAGACAGGGAGACAATCTGGAGAGACACCATCTCAATTGTGCCTGGTCAGTCGAATCAGGGCTGTGCTGACAGAGCTACTTGGCAGGGAACTGTCAAGTAGGGCGTTGAGACTTTCACGTTCTCTGAACTCAGAACAGGGGAGCTTTCCATGGTGTGACATGGACTAGGGTGATTCCTAGTCCCGTTGTCACCACCCCACAATCAAATCAATTTTTTGATATTCCGTTGGATTGATGTATGTAGCAAAGAACTTTGTTTGACCTTGTGTGAAGAGGTCAAAAAAAACAAGTCTGATGGTATAAATTGAATTCTGTGCTAATTCAAAAGGGGAGAGCCAACAATTTTATTCAAATAATTTGAATGAATTTGTCAAAAATTAGATACTTGAGAAGAGGATAGCCATGCAACATGATGATTGATATCAAAATGAGCCACACTAATGCTTGAGCTCAAAGCAAGAGGAATCAAGTTTGGTCATGATTGTCATATTGATTGGTTCAACCAACTTCTTGCCCAGTTTTTGAAAAGATTGAGGATTTTTTTTTTGAATACTCCAGGGGGTTTTTCTCCAAAGTCATCAATTATGCAAAGGGCTGTAGAGTTTGTTACCGTGCGTGGCCAAGTTAACAACCGCAAACAAGTGCGGATGCTCTAAAAAGCATCAATATTCAGGATTTTTTCTATGCATTATCATGGGTTATGCAGCTGCACAGATATGCATTTGCGCGGGTTTGACTGTATATGGCTATGCATTCAGAGAGAGTTGACTGTATGCTGAGGAATTGGACTCTGCTGGGCAGAACTCCAATGGGCTTTTCTCGTTACACTCGGCACCACCAACATATTTACCTCGGATTACAAAATCCGAGGTATCCTCGGATGCAAAACCTCGGACAGAAGCTTCCCGAGGTTTTGATCCGAGGTAATTCTCAGGGCAAAAAAATACCTCGGGCAAATACCTTGGACAAGGTTTGTCCGAGGATTTGCCTCCGATGATGCCTCGGATTTCTCAACCCGAGGCATCTATGCTGGCAGTGCGCGGACCATGGCCCGTTGCATAGATAGCCTCGGTGAGCAGATTTCGGGTTAATTAAGACTTCACCCGACTGAAGCGATCTTGAGATTGACCCGATCGTCTCATCTTGAAATCTCAACACTTCGCAGACCTATTTCACGCATTCTCCTCTTATTATTGTGAGTTTCATGGCTAGATCCCCATTTTCAGTCAAAGAATCATCACAGGGCATCAGCCTGAACACGTTCGACACCAATTCATCTGCTTCATCCTCTTCATGCTCCAGATCTTCAACATTACAAGTTCAACCAGACGATCAATCTCGTGCGGGCAGTGATCTGATGGGATACACTTCAACCCGTCGTCGTTCTGGCTCGGTGGCAGGTCGTGTTCCTGGTCCTTCGGAGCCACGCGGTCGTGCCATTACTTCAAAAGGAAAACTAAAGGCTCGATCTTCGAACAAAAATGACGAGGGAGATTTGTTGAATTTTCCAGGACCCTCCCCCCGGCCCTTGCACTCAACTCGGAGCAGCGACGAATATCCGGATTGGCGAGATCATCATGACACGGAGGAAGAAAGCGCTGGACTACTTCCCCATAACGAAAGCGTTCCCAAAACCGCCAAGAAGAGCCGGGGCCCAGAGGATTGTGCAAAGCGGCGCACTCACGACAAGACGAATTGGATAGAGGCGATCTCGAACGCTGTTAGAGGTTGTAGTCCTGGCGAATCTAGGACAATTCCAATGAATCCGCCCGGTGAGCTCACTCAATATGCAGATTGGATCCATTTCTACTGGAGCTGACTGGTTGTTACTTCTTGATATCGAAATGCCTTAGAGGCCTTCAAGTCGAGATTTCCTCCGAACATTGTCAGAAACCAAAAGTACAACTTCATCACATTCGTGCCATTGGTGCTATATGAACAATTCAAATTTTTCTTCAACTTGTATTTTCTCGCTGTGGCTATGTCCCAATTTGTACCATCATTGAAGATAGGACTACTTATGACCTACGTTGCACCGCTCGCCTTTGTTCTCGTAATCACCACTGGGAAGGAAGCGTATGATGACTATCTGAGATATCAAAGAGACTCAATCGCGAATTCCACACGCTACCAAATTCTCGACTGGTCCTCTCGATCGGCTGTATCATCATCTTCTGCAAACTCGCATCATGCTACTACTCTCAACAATCCCGGGGGTGTCAATCCGGCTGCCACATTCTTACCCATCCGCACAATCCCTTCATCTAGCATTCGCGTTGGTGACATAGTGTTGCTTGACAAAAACATGCGTGTACCAGCCGATTTAGTACTTCTTCGCACATCCGATTCTGACTCAGGTTCATGTTTCATCCGCACTGACCAACTGGATGGAGAAACAGATTGGAAGTTGAAAGTGGCCCTCGAACTCACTCAGAATCTACCGAACGGAGACGCCGACTTGTTACAATTGGATGGCGAATACGACAAAGACAGTTTTCTATCAGATAACATTCACAATCGACCTTCTGGTCTTGGTAAGAAGATCGAAATCTTTGCCGATAAACCGAATATGGACATACACACTTTTGTCGGTACCTTGATTGTTCACGACATCACTCAAGATGCGGGAAGTGACGCTTCCCCAAACTCAAAAGATGCCACCCTAGGAGACAACCTGGACCCTGTACGTGATTCAATAGATGATATCGAAATCAACTCTTTGAACGAAATTCTACCGGCTCTTCATTCATCCCCTCCACAAATCACCACTACTAAGTTTCCTATCACCTGTGAGAACATCTTATGGGCAGATACTGTCCTGGCTGCTGGACAAGCCATCGGAATGGTCATCTACACCGGTACCGAAACAAGGGCCGTGATGAACACTTCATACCCCAAAACAAAAACAAGCCTTTTGGATCTCGAGATCAATCAGCTGGCCAAGATCTTGTGCGTGGTGACCTTATCTCTATCGATAGCCTTGGTAGCTTTCAACGGGTTCCGTGGCCCATGGTGGGTATACGTCACCAGATTCTTGATCCTATTCAGCTCAATCATACCTATTTCGTAAGTCGTGTTCACGCTGGGTCGTGTCATAATTCAAATTGATCATCTTTGACTCGCAATATCACCAGACTGCGGGTGAATTTGGATATGGGCAAAACTGTTTATGCTCATCAAATTGAATCTGATGCGGAGATACCGGGTACAATAGTACGGACTAGTACCCTTCCTGAGGAGCTAGGTCGAATTGAATATCTCCTATCCGACAAAACTGGCACATTGACCCAGAACGGTACGGCTTCTCTCAGTTCGGCCGCGATTGTTTGTTTGCTTCAACTCGTTGACGCATAAATGTTGACTCTGACGGTTGACATGTGTGACATTACATCTACCTTTTGATGATCAACAAAATATGACCACTGCCGTCTATCTACGGACACAGAAATGGAATTGAAGAAGTTACATATGGGGACTATGGCCTACGCTCTTGATACAATGGACGAAGTTGCTCTTCAGTTGGCCACTGCCTTTGGGGCTGATCCTGCGATGGTCACTACGCAATCCGGTGGAGGCTCGCTACCTACTGGCGCTAGTTTGGCTTTAAGAGGCAGACGTGATATGACGTCAAGAGTGAGGGACGTTATCCTTGGATTAGCTCTCTGCCATAACGTGAGCTATCAACTTCTCCAAAATCTCAGTTTGCACTATGAAATTTTCTTGGCAAACCTGCTCATATATCGGGGGCGCTTGATCTCATAAGGTCACGCCTGTCACCAACGACGACGGATCAGTAACATATCAAGCCTCTTCGCCAGACGAAGTTGCAATTGTTTCTTACACCGAGTCCGTCGGATTAAAGTTGATCACCAGAGATCGTACTAAAATGACGCTGCAAACCACCGCAGGATCAGTTTTCAAATATGACATTCTAGACATATTTCCTTTTACATCAGAGTCGAAACGGATGGGAATTATCATCAAGGACATGCACTCAAATGAAATTGTCTTTTATCAAAAGGGTGCAGATACAATCATGTCAAAAATTGTGCAGTCTAATGATTGGCTTGAGGAAGAATGTGATAATATGTCTCGGGAAGGACTGCGGACGTTGGTAATGGCTAAGAAGAGGCTGTCCCTTGAGAAGTATCAAAAGTTTGCTCAAAGGTATTTAAACGCACGTGTAAATACTTCGGAAGGTCGAAATGAACTTATTAACCAGGTTGTCAGCGAAGAATTAGAACATGATCTTGAATTACTTGGGGTGACTGGAGTCGAAGACAAGCTCCAAGACGATGTGAAGGGAACTTTGGAACTACTTCGCAATGCCGGTCTTAAGATATGGATGTTGACGGGTGATAAAATCGAGACGGCCACATGCATCGCGATCTCGAGTAAACTTGTCTCGAGAGGACAATATATCCACCAGGTTTCCAAACGTATGCAGTGACTCCACTACAATGTGTCCCATGAGGCATGGTACTGATTTTTCCCCAAAATGACCGAGATGTGTAGTCCAATCACCTGATCTCGTGAAACGAGAGTTGGAATTTCTTCAACAAAAGCAAGATTGCTGTCTCGTGATCGATGGTGAATCCCTGCAAACCTCGTTAACCTACTTTCAGAACGAGTTCATTGAGGTGGCGACAAAGCTTCCTGTTGTTGTAGCATGTCGTTGCTCTCCCACGCAGAAAGCAGATATTGCGAAATTAATTCGGTCACGCACTAGGAAACGAGTGTGCTGTATCGGCGATGGTGGTAACGACGTTAGTATGATTCAAGCTGCAGACGTTGGAATTGGAATCGTTGGCAAGGAAGGGAAACAAGCATCGCTAGCTGCAGATTTTTCAATCAATCAGTTTAGTTACCTAACCAAGTTATTGGTTTGGCACGGTCGCAACTCTTACAAGCGGTCTGCCAAATTGGCGCAATTCGTGATTCATCGGTGATTTTGAGTTCCTCTTCTGTCGGTTTAATCCTCTGGTCGCTGATGAGTGATCACCTTTTCATTTTCGACCAAAGTGGTCTGATCATATCTGTGATTCAAGCCGTTTTCTCTTCAGTTCTGTACTTTGCCCCAGTTGCTATCTACCAAGGCTGGCTCATGATGGTCAGTATCAGTTCGTAATAGTACTTTACCGAGTCCGAAGTCTCAATGTGATCCTTCCATATCGCATAGGGGTACGCAACGTGCTACACCATGGCACCTGTCTTTTCCTTAGTACTTGATCGAGACGTGAATGAAGATGTGGCGTTACTGTATCCAGAATTGTACAAGGAACTCACTAAGGTGAATTATCTGATCTTTTGCACCTGGATTTTACTGACACTTGATGTACATTGAGCCTGTAGGGTCGCTCGCTGTCGTACAAAAGTTTCTTTACGTATTTCATGTCAGCGGTTTTTCAAGGAGGAGCAATTATGATCCTAAGTTTGGTGATGTTTGAAAATGAGTTCATCAATATCGTTGCCATCTCCTTTACGTCATTGATTTTGACCGAGCTCTTGATGGTCGCTTTGGAAATCACGACCTGGTCAGTTTTGCTCTACGTACCTTCACTCAAATCCTGCTTATCTTTCCTTGGAACAGGCACCGCTATATGATCGTTGCGGAAGTTACCACTTTGCTATTGTATCTCATCAGTATGGCGTTCTTACCGGAATACTTTAGTTCGTCCATATTTGAGTCACTCTCCTAGATGGGACCTGTAAACTAGTGTTTGTTTCTGATGTGACTGTTTTACAATATCCCAGACCTGTCATTCGTATTAACGGTTTCATTCCTTTGGAGAGTTTCGCTGATCACAGCTGTTAGCTCGGTTCCGCTTTACATTGCTAAAGCTCTTCGTAGTTATTTCGCACCAGCTTCATATGCCAAGTAAGTCAATTCAATCAAGATTTTCTCTGTTGAGGAAGAATTCTAGGAGTAAATGTGCTCTGACCATCGCTGGTCACTTTTAGACTACGGCATTACTGATGCCACATCACCCTGGCAAGCGGAGCATCTCATACAATATCTTGGTAGTGTTCTTGGGGAACTGCTGAGCTACCAGCATTGGTTATGTATCAAATATTTTGGCTTTCTACCTTTCAGCCACATTATTATAGCAATGTAAAATAAATCCTATCAAATATGGTGATACACCTTGTCGAAGAACTATTTGAACCGCCTCACGTTGAATTTTTACCAAAATAATGTAATGGCCAGATGGTGAAAAGTAGGGATAGAAACACTTGACATTGTCACCCTAATCTCACCCTCACCTGGCAAAAGATTAATATATGCTTTGCGTCCAAGTATGTGTAATGAGGCTTGTACGTGTAAAGCTGTCATCTGTGATTTATAGTGATACAGCCTCCAGCCTCTGGTTGAACAGAGCTGGCCACAAAGGCTCAGGGCTGTGGCATAGCCCTAACTTGTGCTAAGTTGGGGCTTTCCCAAAGCCTCAAACTTAACCAAGTGCATTGCCATTGGCCTGAAAAATTGGCTGTATTGCTTGAAAATTCACTATCTTGTTTTACTTTTTTCTCTGCTAGATAAACCCAGCTCAATGCAAAGGAAAAGCGGAATGGCACTTGACCATGACATACGCTCATAAGGGATTCTCAGAATCCTGATAAGAATCAAACAGGGAACAAAACAACAAATCTCAGTCTAAATGATCGATAGCAACACTGAAGATGTATGGAGATGAGGTGTCAAGTGTCATGTAATAAAACAGAAAGCTTGAAAGAAAAAAAGGAGAAAGTTTGCAAAGATGACAAACAAAAGTATATAAAGACAGACACATGGTTTAGGTTAGGTTTAGATGTTGCAAGTAAAAATATGAGAATATTCATTACATGTGTAACATAAAAGAGTTAAGTATGTGAACAGCATAGTAATAAAACAGCATAAGAAATGTATCAGGTGAATATACTCCAAAAGCTCAAGCTCCAACCACCTCCATAGCTGACCAGGAACTCCTGATTCTGGGTGATCTATGATTGGACTTGCTCACCTCTTTCTGAGTAAGGAAATGTTTCAAAGCCTTTATTTCTCAGAAATTGGTGAGAAACTCCCATCTTGGATCACTCAAAAGTCAGATAGATACAGGATTGCTGGAAGCACTAGCACTTGTAACAGGCTTTGCACAATGACCTTTTTCTTCTCATTGTGGAATGTTTACTTAGCCACAAAAAAAAGAATGCGATGCAGTGTTTTTGAGCTCAACAAAGCCAACTTCTCAAGCCAAATTTATGGATTATGGGGAAAGTCCCTTGCTCAAGCCTTGGTTCTTTGGTGAGGGACTTAGTCAAGCTTGGTAAAGCCTGATCAACAACAAACTTCATTTGATGACAAGTCATCTCCTATGTATGATCATCTGTGGCACCAAAGGTTGTGAGATTTGGTAGAGGCAAACTTCACCACACCACCCATCTATTTGGTATTGATCAACAATGTTACAAAAATAAATTTGAAACATCCTGCTTCTTTGGAAAAAGTTGTTCAATTCACTTTTCTGATAAGTTGATGGAAAAGATAGTTTTACTTGAGACAAAAGTGGTGATATAGGATCCCAGATAGCTGCTAGTAAATGTATCAACAAAGAAGGTATGTTTTCACTTTGATTCTTTTTCATGTAAACAATGACATAGGTACTTTTTGTGTGCATTTCCTTTGTATAATACCTATCAGCCCTGAGTACTAAACCATAGTACCAAAGGCTGACACATAATCATAAGAAAAGTTTCAAAAACAAAAATTTCAACTCAGTTTCAAGAGTCAAATTAAAAAATGAATTAATATATGTAACATGTGTAGAACTTATGTAAAAGAATATGTACATAAACAGCTTGTATATTTCCTTACATACATTTCACAACTGGAACATGTACAGTTGACTCTCTGTAAAAGCATAGCTGTATAAGGGCATAATTTGCTTAAGGCATAGATTTTTTTGCCACCATTTTTGGCGGCGGCCAAAATTGAGGTTAAAGGCATAAAATCCTCCAACCTCTTAAGGCATAAAATTATGTGCTGAACCCAGGATACTTGAAGGCATAGTTGCCACATAGGTTTTGGTTTGCAGTCAAGATGTAAAGAGGATATTCCACCTCAAAAGCCGTCTCTGACCCACAATTCCAACAATTCAAAGTTTCAAGCCACATCAGCCTTTATCAAACCCAAAATGAATCACGATGCAGATCAAGAGTTTGGTCTTGACTGGGTTTCCTACATCTACAACAATCCACCACATGTAACATGTCTTGGGAACATTGTCTACCTGGCAAATTCATCTCTTCCTCCTTTGAAGATAACACTGGATATGCCTAGCAAAGAGATTTTACTCCATCATCTCAAGCGTGGCTTGCAGCACCTAAAAGAGGAAAACTCAGAGAGGTCTGAAGAGCTTTATGCACGCCAAGCGCGTGGTGAAATGCTCTCACCAGACAACACCAACTGGCTTGACTTTTCAGGAAATCTAGTTTCTGAGCAACTTGTTGTCAATAACCTTACAACTTTAGCTTAAAACTCTCCTACACGTCTCTCTCAAGATGAGTTTCAAGCTATCTTTGCACTTAATCAAGGCTACAATACCTACACACTCAAAAAACAAGCTGAAAAAAAAGAAAAAAAAGAAACAACCCTACAATATCCTCAGAAAGACTCCAGGACCTCCTCAAAAGCATCTTTGAAGCCTTCAAAAAATTCTAGTGGAAAGAAAACTGTCAGGAAATACAATGAAAAGAAACCTACGTCATCATCTGAATCTTACTGTGCTGCAACATATGCCACCAAACTCGCAGTTATTGATTGGCACCGTGCACATGATTCTGTTCAGAAAATCACCCTCAAGCATTTTGCTGAAGTCCAACCCGAGCTTGGCCTCAAGCAGCCACTACTCAGTAAGTGGCTTTCAAGCACAGAAAAAATTCACAGAAAAGCACCAATCAGTGCTCACAAAACTCAAAGAGTCCAAAAGGTGAATCATCCCAATATTGAGGAAATGCTTGGATGATGACAGGGGAAGCATTAGGAGCTGGGGTCAATATAACTGGTGATGAGTTACGAGCTAAGTGGGAAGACTTTGCTTGCTTGAAAGGTATTCCAAGCAATGAGTGGCTTTCCTTGAGTAGTGGTTGGTTGAGACACTTCAAGAACCGTCACAACTTACACCTTTTTGAAAAGATGGTGAAGCTGGTCCAGTTGACAAAGCTACTGTTGAAGAGGAAGTTGAGTGAGTTTGAGCAATAACTGATCAATTCAAGCCATGTGATATCTACAACATGGATGAAACTGGCCTCTTTTATGTGTAAGTCACATCCATCACTGTTTTGTTTTTGAATCTTTCTCATCTATCATGTTATTACTCAATAGGATGCCCCCCGATTGCGGTCTAGCAAAGGACGCTGAAAAGGGTGTCAAAGGTGTCAAAGCTCACTTGAAAATTGCTGTTACAACTAACGCCAATGGCTCTGATTGATGTCCACTTCTCTTCATTGGAAAGCATCAACACCCTCAACCATTCAAAAGACAGGGTGGACATGAGGCACATAACATTGAAAACTACTGGAACAAGAGTTCTTTGATGAACACTACCATCTTTAATGCACACAGGAAACAAGAGACAATTTTCCCGCGGGAAGACCGATTACACATAATGTAGTTTCTGAGCCATAATGTACAAATAACACAGATATAACACCAAAATAATACATTTTGGCTCATTAACTGAGTCAGATACAATTGGTTTTCCTGCGGGAAAATTGTCCCTTGTTTCCTGTGGCATGGATCTCAAAATGGGATGTTTGGCTTGGAGAACAGAAACAAAAAATACTGTTGCTTGTGGACAACTTTACCAGGCACACAGTACCAGAGGGATTTCTCAAGAACATCTGCCTTGAAAAATTTTGACCAAACCTTACCTCTCGAGTTCAGCCATGTGATGCTGGGATCATCCGCGCTCTGAAGGCCCACCATCAAGCAAGATTTATGCATTGTTCAATCCATCTCTTTGCCGGGGTAAAACACAGATTGGATCCTTACAATATCAACATCCTCTCAGCTATGCGTATGGTCGAGCAAGCTTGGTACTCAGCCTCTGCAGCAACGATCGAGAGCTGCTGGGATCATACTCATGTTGTCAAGTTTGACAATGTTTTGATTTTGTGCGTGTGACTTCCTTCTGTTAAACTAACCACATCTTTGAGATTTCAGAGCTTCAGAAAAACCCAAGGAAGAGATTGATGTTGGCCTTCAAACTCTTCAAGACATCAGAGCTCTGGCAGCATCTCAACAGATTTCAATTGAACATCTACTCAACCCAGCCAATGAGACACCAACCAATAAGACGGTGACTTTGGTTGAAAAGATTCTTGAAGAGCGACTTGAAGCTGAGGAACTCACCATGGAAACTGATTCAGACAGTGAAACTCCTCCTGAGCCTGCTCCAATGCCTAACAAGGCTATGAAAGCAGTATCAGTTTCACTCCGTTTGATAGAGGCGGATACATGTGCTGAGCTTGAAGTGTTGGATCATCCTTTACAAAAGTTACAACAATTGATTGGAAACAATCTTTTCCACTCTTTCCAAAAACAAACTACCATGACCAACTTTCTCAAGCCAATCTCAAATTCTACTAATGATGATATTTCTCCTTCAAGCAGTGATTGATTACAAGTCATAAAACAAGAACTACATTGCCTTATTCTACAGATTTTTGTGATAAAGTCATTATGAAATCTTTTTTTATCTCATACTGAGTCCGTTCAGCAGTACATTAGTCATTTTTGTGTCTTCAAATGGCTTGACACGTATATGCATATTTTTATGCCTTTAGAGGGAAATTACGCCTGAGGACATAAACCTCTAAAGGCATAAAAAATACCGCCTCCAAACTCTATGCCTTTAGAGGGAGTCAACTGTATGTAACAAAGTAGAAATCTTCATAACTTATATGTAATAAAACCTAACCTTGCAACTACAATTTGTGCATATAGGATTTTCAAACTTCAGATTATAAAAATTCTGAATATGCAAACTTTGTAATCATCATCACATTACAATTTAACAATTCTATTTACCTAATAAATCCTCATCACCAACTAGATTACAACCTTTCAGTAAAGTTCACTTTACTATCTTGTCTGTGATTTTGTTACATTGTTCTTGTGGTTCTCAATTCCCTCCATTATTGTTACTGCTCTTGAACACAGTATTTTCATAGTTGTTGATTATCATTTGTGGAATCTAGCTATTCACACTGCAAAAATAATGTAAATCTACAATGTGACAAATGATTGAATTTAATGTACAAAATGATTCATAATGCAGAATTCATGCAGACTTATGTTGAAGTTTTCATATCATTCTGTAAACATTTCACACAATTGACACTTAACTTTATTTTTAATATTTCAATCTTGTTTTTAATCATCTGTACATATGTAATGCTTACATGTTTGTTTAGGTTTCACACTGTTGTTAACCTATGTATTGGTTTCAGAATATTCATGAAATACCTTGAAGAGCAGCAATCTGAAGTCTCCCTTCTTCATCCAAGATATTCTTCTAACTTCTTGGGTGGAAGGTAAGTTAACTTCTGATCATGGGATTTGATATAGTTCTAGACACTGTGAACATCATTCAACTTCCCCACATTGGAAGAGGAAAATGATTAATAGTACAGTTTGTCATAAAAAGATCCAATACCGCTCACCTGAGCCTCAACACCCACACTACATATGTGCAGTACACTAAGTAAATAGTTTTCTATCATGTACATACAGGTCTGCTCAGTTTTTTGCCCATCAGAATATATAAATCACATGTTATACCACATGTAACTTTTTTGACTTGGAAAAAATTGTCCCAAGAATTCACTACATATAATTCTGTAGCTGCTCAGGCAATATTTTTGAAGCTATCTCTTAGTAACAGAAAGGGTATTACATGCAGTTGAGTTGATGAGATTACACCAAAACATTGAGTCAGTGTATGTAGTCTATCTTTTGAATGCTTTTGTCAATCTGAAAAAAGCTACAGCATGTATTACATATGAATAACTCATCCTGCTGAGCAGATAACTGAGCAGAACTGTATGTACATGATAAACACCAATTCACTGAGCCTGCTACACATATGTAGTGTGGGTGTTATGGATCAGGTGTGGAGTGATAGATCATTTTATGACAAATGATACTCCCAATCATTTTTTCCTGCCCACTTGGGGAAGTTGATTAATGTTTGCAGTGAGAGTTCTGTTTTGGAACTTTATCTACCCTGCTCTGACAGATCTTCAACAACTTAATGCATTTTTAAATGTTTTGTAAATTAAATGTAATCATTTTTCACCTTTGAAAAATACATTATATTTACGGTGTCAGGAGGTAGTCCTCGAATGCTGCTTTATCTGATCGAGATTTGGTCAGATCAATAAACTTTAAACCTGTGTAGTACCTCTATTAGTCAGAGTTTAAAGTACCAAACACTTAATTGAGTGTTCTTGATCAATCAATTTCTAGTTACAAAGATAATCAATTAGGGGAAATTACTGAAGATTTAGTGTACAGTTTCTACTAAAATACTAGTAGAAACTTATGCTCAAATCCTTACTTCAAATTAGGTCCTCTAACTGTATGTATTTGTTTGTTGCAAGCATAGTCTTAAAACCTTGTTTTTCTGTTATGAAACTTTGTAGATTATAGTCCCTACAAGTTTTTCTAGTGATTTACTAGCCTAATCAAAGCTAGTAGCTAGCTCACAATAGCAATGTCAGAGGTCTGAGTGTGCGTAGTCTTTGGCCAAGAATCTGTGAATACTGATCTGCCAGCAATGATTTTTACATTCACCACATTTTCATGCATTTAATGTCACATCTACCAACATTTATGCAATTTTGATCACATTTCTTGACTAATACCCATTATAGATTCAGGCAAAAACATCAGTAGCTTTAGCGTACACTTCTTGTGTTTCAAAATCTGGGGCATTTGTTTTTTCCAAGTTTTGATTGCTGCAAACATGTAAAAACAGTTGTTTTTGATGCTTGATGTTAGGGACCTGGAACAAACTTTTCTTCAAAAAGTTTTAGAATGATACTGTCAAAAAAGGTATTCTTGGCCTCTATAAGCCTGATTGTGATGGCTTTAGCTCAAAATTTGAGCTACATACAGCAAGCTGTGTACCAATATAACAGGCCATTTTTTGAGAGACAATGTTTTTGTCTCAAAAAAAACCTTTATCCTATTTTTTGTGGATGATGAAGAGAGGGATCATCTTGTCAAAAGCCCCAGGGTAACCCTATTGCCAAATTTGGGTTTGGGGCATGAGCTGTTGGTAGTGAGCAGTGGAATATATTTTTCCTCTACTAAATTTCAAAGCCTTCTGTGCCAAAATCAGACATTGCTAATTGCCATGCCCTTGTATAGGGGCTGTGTTGTTTTTCACATGTTGGTACATATTTTGGTACCACACTCATTGGTTTACATTGGTCAGAAGGGGCCAGAATTGGTGGTGTGACATGGATA